ATTATAGATGCCATCCAGAGGTAATTGTTGATAGAAGTATCAGAATGAGTCTACGCTTGACTGTATCTGAAGAAGTATCCGAATAAATCTTTGGTTTGATTTAATCTGAGCCAGAAAATGTTTACTGGAAGAAGTATCTAGATAAATCTTTGGTTGATTTATTCTGAGCCAGGAAAGGTCCACTAAGAGAAGTATCAGAATAAATCTTTGGTTGATTTAATCTGAGCCAACAGATGTCTTTTGTGTCTTTAACTGGAAGAAGTATCAGAATAAATCTTTTGTCAATTTAATCTGAGCCAGCAGATGTCTTTGTATTTTACTGGAAGAAGTATCTGAATAAATCTTTGGTCGATTTAATACGAGCCAGAAAAAGGTCTACTGAGAGAAGTATCAGAATAAATCTTTGGTCGATTTAATCTGAGCCGACATAAGATCTACTGAGAGAAGTATCAGAATAAATCTTTGGTCGATTTAATATGAGCCAGCAGATATTTTTGTCTTTATCTGGAAGAAGTATCAGAATAAATCTTTGGTTTATTTAATCTGAGCCAGAGAAAATCTACTGAGAGAAGTATCAGAATAAATCTTTGGTCGATTTAATATGAGCCAACAAATGTCCTTATATTTAACTGGAAGAAGTATCAGAATAAGTCTTTGGTCGATTTAATCTGAGCCAGAAAAAGGTTTACTGAGAGAAGTATCGAAATAAATATTTGGTCGATTTAATCTGAGCCAGGAGATGTCTGAAGAAAGTATTCATCATGTAGATATTTGCCCTGTCTTGTTTCGGTGAATGACCTACAATCTATTTTGAGAATTGATGATATTGGTCTGTTGATTAATCTTTCCGGAAAAGGTAAAGAGTTAGTCGTATGCAATGTCATGATGTATGAAGTGTGTTGCGCAATGATGTTATCAAAATAAATGAGATTGTGCTATATGCGTTTCGTATGCATATTCTATGACATATGAATGTAAAATGTTGTTGAAGTGTATCCTTTTCTGGGAAAATAAATCCCTGACTATTATTGGGGATGAAGAGTATGTGTATCTTCAATATTGTCTAGAATGTTTTCGTTGGGGATTCCTGTTTACTTGTTTGAGGAAACTCTGCATGGGGATGTATTGATTTCTGTTTGGGGAGTAGAGTTTAGGAATATTGGTCGTCCGTTGCTCTACTGGGGAATTTATTTCTTGTATACCCTGACTGGGGATGAAAGAGATGGTTAAACTTCTGACTTGTTTGGGGAAGATAATTCTTATATACCCTGACTGGGGATAAAAGAGATGGATAATCTTCCAACTGGTCTGGAGAGGATAAAGTTAACTGGTATCTGGTCGGATTCCAGGCTTTGCAGTAACTTTTTGGGGATAGTGACAACTTTACTGGGGAGAAGAATTTTGTCAGTGATTTACAGTAGTCTAAAAATTGGATTAGAGCTGCGGAGATTGTTGGTTGTTGGGGAAATAAACCATGTTGATGGAGAAGTGCTCTGTTGAGGAAACAAACTCTCATGGGGAAATTGATTTTGCTACAGAGAAGAACTCTGTAAGGTTCTCTTTCAGTTTTAGAGGACCAAACTCAGATGGGGAAGAGAATTTCCATGAACTGTAATGATTGAAAACTCCGTAGGTTGGTGATTTTGCCGGGAAAGAGATTATACTCCTTTATTTACTGGAGAAATCTGTCGGGGAGATTGTGGGGAATGCATCCTTATTTGTGAAGATTACTTTGTGGGTATAACCTCATAAAAGTGGCTCTTGTGGGGACTTCACTATGAATAATCTTATGAAAGGGACTCTGTGGGGATTTATGAACAACTTGAGTGTCATCCCAGCTCCTAGAGTTTTGAGTAAATGCTTAGTCATGTTCTTATGCATGTATTTATTAATAATTAATCATGTTCATATGCATATGCTCATTCAATTTTAACCATTCGACATTTTTGCAAGCAAAATAGAAAAAACAAAAAGTTTGGACTTTAAAGTGTATTTGTATTGATAATTTGCCTATAAACAGGCGAGTTCGTACAAAGAGACGGAAATCCTAGTAAGAGGAAGTCGTCTTGAAATGAACAGAGCACAAAGTGATAAAAAATATATAGCCATGTGGAAGTGATCTCGTTGGGTTCCAACTTTGCTATTGCCCCTATGGCTTTGAACATCTCGTCCTTTGCTGTCGGAAGAAGTTGATTGAACTGATCTTGTACCACTTGAACTTTAGATCTTGGTAATAAAACTGGATGTAAGTGATCCCACAACGAGGAACCTATCCACCTCAGGCGCCCCACTATGGATGACAAGTTTTAAATCATTCTTCTCGGAAGTGATCCTAACAAAGGAGTGAAGATTAACACTGATCTCCCCGATCTTGCGAGGAAGCAGCTAAAAGCCTGCTTGAGGGAAAACACTGACCTGTTCGCGTGGAGTGTTATTGAAATGCTTGCATTAAATAAATAAAACCTATTTTAAGAAATTAGATTCTTTACTCAGTTGAAAAGTGATTTTGATTGGAAAGTTTAACTTAAAAGGGTTCCAAGCTTTCGCTTAGGTAACTGAATCCTAAACCTATAAATGTGCGCTTTTATAAATAGTTTTAAAATCACTTTCTAGAAATATTAGACTTCCTAATTAATTGACAAAGTGCTTTTGCAGTTTTTATCAATTAACTACTAAATAACTTAAATCTTTTGTATCAGAAGACTTTCGATCTTACCCAGTGTATAATTGGTTCTACTTTCATAGTAAACAACAAAATTAAGTTTTAGAAAATTGTGATTAAAACCAAAATAGAACCAATAGTATTTCTCAAAGAATTACCATTTAGAGTACCATTAAATCGTTGGTCTTCACATTCCAACACTTATAAATTTAGCTAGACATGATTATAGCATAAACCAAAACGATTGATTCAATCATGTGATAAAATGAAATAAACATAGTAGAATAAGCTTTAAACGTGCAATTAAAAGAAATGTAGAAAAAGAGCAATGCGATTAAAATAAAGAGACGATAAAATAAAGACAATGGGATTAAATAAAAACTTGCTTCGAAGAGAATTTAATCTGGTACAGGAAGTAAATTGTTGAAACTTGAATGCGGAAAGTAAAATGACGAAAAGATTAATGCTTCAAATAAAAGTGCTCCAAACTCGATTAGACACTCGATCAACGATGCGGTAACCCTCTGATGTGAAGAGTTAATTGCTTACGAAATCGTCAGTATATGGCTTAAGTTTGTAACTAAGCTTATGAATTGCAAAATGATGAAATGGTGGTATTTATAGGATTCTAAAAACCCTAATATCACAAAGGAGGCTTCAAAATGCGTGGAGAGAATTTAGGAGCAAATGGGGAAAGTGGAAGGACTAAGCAAGCCCACTTTCCAACCGCCTGGCCTCTATAAGAGGTGGCGACCGCCACACCTTCATGGAGAAAGCCATCTTCCCAAGGCAATTATGAACTAGTATTTCCGAATGTTAGTGCGCGGACCACTCATGGACACCCCTATGGTGAATGCCATGGTGGTCGTCTTGAGTGTAAAATGCTCTATTTTCATCTGTTTTTCTTTGTTTCTTTGCGTACGACTCTCATTTGGTCAATTTCCTGAAACATAGACAAAATACCAACATAATAGTGGAAATGGAAACAAAACGACAATAAAACATGCATAAATTAAATCAAATAAATGATGTAGTTTGGTGTCATCACATCCAGATTCTCTGGACGAAAAGTCAACTAGAAGATTATCAAATACATGAGAGTAACATTCTTATCTTTTGTGATAATACTTCTATGATTTATTTGTCCAAGAATCCAATTTTACATTCTAGGGCTAAACATATTGAGATTAAGCATCATTTTATAAGAGACTATGTTCATAAGAGAATTTTATCTTTAAAATTCATAGATACAGGCCATCAGTGGACTAATATCTTTACAAAATCCCTTGCTGAAGATATGTTCGTTTTCATTCTGAAAAATTTAAAATTTGTTTTGTGTCTAGAATGAAAGGATGCAATTTTAGAATGTTGACTTTCCAGAATAGAAAATTAGACTATGTGGTTTGATTGCTGTTTTTGTTTTCTTTTGGGATATGAGATTTCTGATGAGTGAAGTTCTCATGTATCAGAAGTATCCAAAGTCAGAATCTTCTTGCTAGAATGTTTTTTTCCTTTGGAAATTGAAGAATTTACTTCATTAATGAGTTGTCAGGATAGTGAAAGATTGGTGATTCAAAATAAGACACATGTCTTTTCTGAAGCACACCTAGCACTTTATGTGACTCATTGCACTACTATGGAAAACCCTTTCACACCATGTTGGAGTAGTGTTTGGTTGTAAGTTCGTTGTTTCCACCATGGTGTAGAGATCGTGATAATAAGGTATGACGTTCGCTACATATCACAACAGTTATTAATAACAATAGTTGTGATATATACACTTAGGTAATGGGTTCAAAACCCAACAACGTTAATTTATTTAGAATATAATTAACATTTCACCACAGTTACAATAAATAACCGTTGTGGCAAGTATCCTGAGTTTATTATATAATATGTAGATTGCTTATTTTTTCATACACCTCACTACAGAAATACAAGCATTCAAATTAATGAAAAAGTATATAATCTGAAAATTAAACTATTCTTAAAAACCAACTTAAACAAATCACTATTTTCTGATTGCATGCGTCTCATCATTCATTTCCCACTCTTTAACATATAAAATGTGATTTAATGATTTAACTCCTTCAAGACATCAATTCCTTCAATTCTAGTTTAATTTTAATAACGACAATTTATTGACTAAGTCTACATCATCATCATCACTTATTATTGTGATTGTTATGATGAGTTCCTTGAGCCAATTATTTTTCACCTGACCTAACAAGTAGAAACAGTGACACTTTTGAAAATATTTTAAACTTGGTAAAATTAGTTTTTCAGAAACTATTTAACATTTTTTGTTAATTCATTATTTGACCAATAAAACTTTTAAAAAAATAAAGCACTATTATCTTCTATCTTCTCGCCTGAACCACTCACGCTTTTCCTCTTCCTCGGTCGTGAGACTACCTATTCATTTCCGCACTCTTTTCTTCTTGGTTCGGCCGCCGCTGTCGGAGATATACGAGGTACAATCTTACTTTCTTCACCATCCCATTTGACCTCGTACCCAATTTCTCAATTTCAAACCTTAACCCTAATTCTTCTTCCACTTCCCATATTTTCACTCCTTTCACCATCTCAACGTCACCTACTATTCCCACCACTGCAAACCTATTTTGCAGTCTTCCCAGTAAAGTACTTTGATATTCTCCTTAACATATCATTTGTTGAAATTGAAGGATTATTGTAATACAAACTATAAGGGGTGAAGTATAGAATGATTTTAAAGGTGAATGGAGTGAAAGCGACATGGAGTTATCTCCTTTTGCTAGGTAGCTGACCATTACAAAAGCTAAAAATATTATTAGGAAGCACACTAATATGTTCTCCTTTAGAGGACAAAAAGGTTTGCTAAATTCTCACTTTTATGCTATTTCTCTAGCATTTATAACTGCTTAATATTCATTCAGTTTGTGGAACTTTGTTTGTTTACAAGAAGAACATATTACTAGAAAGGAGAGAACGTGTATGGGTATAATTTATCTTTAAGATGAAAAATTCCTCAAAAGACACAACAAAGAAATCAAACCAACATGGAAATTAGAGTGCGGAAAAATGTTCAAAATATTTTTAAAAACCAATAGATATTATCCATTAAAATTATTATATCATATTCTTTATAAACAGACATGACACATAATATTATCACATGGTGTGATTTAGATATCTGACATTTTAAAATGGTACACTTTGTGTGTCTGCTACTAGCTAGGTAGTACAAGTTTCCGCATCTATTGAATTCTTACTAATTATTAAAAATGTGACATGAACAATTTTATCATGCAAAACTTTACTAAGAGATTAAGACCTCTTGTTGGTTTGAACGGCTGGGACTATTGTGTCTACAGGAAATATCAATGTTTACTTACATTACAGATGTTATGCAGCAAGCAGTGGGATCAGAACAAGAGGAAAAGATCCCTCAACTTAGGCCCAAACACCTCAATGATTAGGAGGTTCCAAAGGGGATAGAATCTACTAAGTATCTAGAAGATATTTGTTGTAATGTTGTGTCGTATTTTGCTTGTATCTGTTAGGAGTGAGTCAGCAAAAGTTTGCTAGGAGACTCTTGGACTGTAGCTAAACAAAGTACTATATGTACTTGAGTATGATGTAATAATGGCAGGCATGAATTAAATGAAATAGTAGATTCCCTTACATCTTCTAACATTGCTATTTTATGATTTTTTTTTACAAGATCATTCATAACAAATTAGTGCTTTCAACAATCTCGCTTCAACGACACCAATCCCTTGGGTTGGATCTTTAAGATCAACCAGTTTTTCGATTATCACATGACTTCGGAGGACCAACGTCTTCGCATTGCTTCTTTTTACATGGAAGGAGAAGTTTTAAGGTGGTTTCAGTGGGTGCATTCTGTTATACCTCAAATTTTCCCCTAAGATTCCTCATCACTTCATATCATCACAATACATCAAGATCACAAATGTGGATTGATTATCTCTTCTATTATCTCCTATCTTTAAGTTTACTCTCAAGGGATCACCAATCACCTTAATTGTGTATCTTGTATATATGTTTTTTATATTTCACTAACATCTAATCAAAATGCCAATATATATATATATATATATATATATATATATATATATATATATATATATATATATATATATATATATATATATATATATATATATATATATATACTTTGTTCTTTCTGTATATTTGTGTTTTATAGGTATCGAGCCAAAGCATCCAACCAACAAAGCTTTTTGCTACTTTTTCTCTGTAAAAATCAATTACCAAGCCTAATTTTGGTTCCAAACCACCAATAATCCCAAGCCTAAACCTTTTAAATAGAGTCCTGATTTCATTCATTCATCAAGCTTTTGATAATCAAATTCACCTTGCTAAAAATTCTCTCAACTCTCTTCATCTATCCAAAATCACCCAAAGCTCAATTTCCATAAAAGTCAGTAAGCTTTTCATTGAAGCTTACTAATCTTTGAGCTAAACCTCCATTTAAACACTTTTTCTTCATTAACTCTCTAAATCAAAGCTTGGAAGATTGATTCTTGGAGCTTATTTGAAGCATAATTCAGATTTGAATAGGTAAAATTTTGGATCCACCATTATTAAGCTTGATCATTCACAATGTGACCTCTTGTTGATCTTTGTGGTTTGATTCTTTGAGCTACATTTTTTTATTTCATTGGTGCTAATTTCTCATAATTTGATGGAATTTTCGTGCTCAATTAAATCCAAGATCATAAGGTGTTTGATGAAATGTTTGATCAAGAATCTTCTTTCTAAAATGCATATTTCTGGTTTTTTCGCAGCAGAAATCGATTTCTCATACTAGAAATCGATTTCTCTCACTGTTCTTGTGCCAACTTTGAAAAATCTGTGCAGGAAATTGATTCCCCTATATGGAGAAATCGATTTCCTGAAGGCAGAATGCAATTTTTTGACTTATTTTGGGACTGTTTTTGTTTCTTTTCTTTTTCCTACTCCATTCTTTTGATTGTTGCTTTGGATTGCAATTTGGAATGTCCAATTTCTCTTCAAATTTAATGGACTTAGGATGTAGATGAAGTTGGATAGACATTCATTAATTCAAATTTATCTTAGAGTGAATTATTTAATTCATTCTTGGTGATTTGAATTAGTGATATGTTTAGTGCTTTAATCCATCAATTATGAGTGATTGAACTTGAACATGAAATAATTTTGAGAATGTGATCCAAATGAGACTTCTCCTTCCCCTTTCCCTCTTCATCTCATCCCTTTCTTGATTTCTTTAAGTGATCATTAGTGGCCTAAGCTTTATGCTTAAAATTGTCCAAGTATGATTGATTATTGAACCATGGTTCAAGACCTTAGAAGCTTATTGTTAGGAGACTTTGATTTTATCAATCCTCTAATAAGTATTCATCAACCTTGGCCCAAGTTCAATCTTCAACCATCATTGATCATTTATTATGGATTTCCTCTTTTTCTTCTTATTTTTCCTTTTATCACGACTTAGGTCTTGATCCTTGGTTTTCACGTGTGCTACATGTTTTAGGAGTATCGTTTTTACCATGTCTCTAACATGTATGGTATATACATTGCTATTGATCAGCCTCAAAATAGGTGCGACTTCTTTATAAGTCCACTTACGATTACTTAACATAGCGCTAAATTTATCCCGATTCAGAAAATGATCATTCGTGGCTCAAACTTTATGTTTGTAAGCCCAAGTATGGTTGATTGGTTAGCTTGGGTCCAACACCCTTGAGACTTGTTGTTAGGAGGATTTTATTTTATTAATCCTTTAATAAGTTCTCATTACTTTTGGTCCAAGAATACCATTCTATCATCATTAATCATCTTTGTGACCATTAACCATTAACCATTAACAATTAACTTCTAACTTCTAAGACATTAACAATTAAGTTTATTTTATGCCTTTACTTTATGTATTTATTTTATGCATTTACTTTTATGGACTTTTATATTTAGCATTTACATCTTATGTTATTTTACTTTTGTCCAGTTGAATATTTATTTTGTGTTTCTTCTATCTTGACTCACTTGAGATCTTTTTCTTTTTTAAGACATTAATAATCCAACTTGAATATTAAAAGACTTACGCCTCTCTTTATGGACTATTGGTTATTATCCTTGGCATATTGAAGTTGTGGACTTTTTGGACTTAGGATTAGAAGCTTTGATACTTTGAGACCTTGAGACCTTTGGACCTTTTGTTACTTCATTGTTATTTTTCTTGTATTGGAAAATCTTTTATGTGTAGGTGTTGTTATGTTGGCCTTAAGTGATCTATATGGCACATGACTCAATATTTAAGACCTTGCTTTGGGGTTTTAATACCTTCGGTTTCTTTGATACTTCTCTTTTTGTGATTTAGTTTCACATGGATGATTGGTATGCTCTTGGTCTATTCTATGCTTGTGGATTTAATCTAAAGGATGATAATTTTACATTGACTTCATAATGTCAGGTTTTGGCTTCTTGTTGGTTACACATTTCCTTACCTTGGCTTTTACTTTGTGCTTTAGGATAGTCTCTTCATCTCCTCCTATTCTTCTTTAATTTTCAAAATCTTCTCCCTCCTTTTCAAAACTCATCTTATTTTTCAAACTTGAAGCGCTTTCATAAAAAACTTGGACTTAGGTCCATGCATTTTCAAAATTCTTTTCTTAACAAAGTCATAAATCAATCTTAATCAAGATATGACTTCTTTCTTCAATACTTAAAAAAATACAAAATAAATTCAAATCTTTTTGCCGCTTTAGATTTTCTCTTTAAAACCTTTTTCTTAAAATGAATCAACACACAATGCTTTTCAAAATTTTCGAGAAGAACTACGAGTGCCCCGATCCTCTGTTGCATAAAGGGGGTACGTAGGCACAAAAGGTTCGCAACCACGACAAATGCAAAAATTGTAAAAACCACTTCTTTTCTCATCTCCACCATCTATTTTGTAAATATTTCTTTTATAGACAAATACACAGTGTTGTGCCCCAAAATTTGCCCTCTCATTTCTCAAAGAATCACCCTGAACCCTCAGGTTTGCTTATATCCAATTTCAAGCTTTGAATTACAAATTTTTCAAGAAAGTCATTCACAAGGACAAAATGGTCATTTGCACACTAAAAAGTCGAACTTTGACTTTTGGATCAAAATCAAGTTTCAAGAATCATATTTCAGCAAAACATGTTAAAATATGAAGTTTGTTGCATTAAGAAAGTCAAAAGTCAAATTTGCTATTGGAAAAGTCAAACTTCTAAATACTTAGAATTTTTTCTAAGTGTTTAAGAAATATGACAGGCTTAGAACTTTTGATCAGATTATCACCATGATGCAAGCCGATTCTGGAAGAACTTCTAACACAAGAGTTATAGACTTCAACAAGATCTGAAATACTACAGAACGGAACTTCTCCTGGAAATGCTAGAATTTCAAGTTATAAATCTTCAAAGACACGTCCATGAAACTGAAGCACTCAACAAATTCTGAGCATTTTCAAGTCAGAAGTTGTCTACAACTTCTGGGCCAGTTTCCACAAAGGTTCAGTCAGAGTTTGTAAGGGTAATTCAAAGAAGGTTACAAAGCGTGTTGCAAGCTTCCTGGAAAGTCTGAGAGCTCCTTCAGAACATGTTGGAGCAAGGAGATACAAAGATCAGAAGTTAGATGTTTATTCTAAGTTACGCTGAAGCTGAA